CCGGCCTCTCCTTCCCCCCTTCTCCTCACAGCGAGGGGGCGGCGGGGCGGGCGGGTGCCGCGCGGGCCGGGGCTCCCCTCACGGGGCAGGGCGCCGCCTCACACACAGCAGCGCGGAGCCCCGGCCGGGTGGCGGAGGGGACCGGGGAGAGGAGAGGCGGCGGGGCTCTGCAGAGGCGCCCTCCCTGCCGGCGAGTGAGCGAGCGTCTGCGGGGGAGAAGGGGGGCGGAACAGCAGCCTCCTCCCCTCGCAGCCGCCCTCCCGCCTCATACGGGCAGCGCTGGCAGCATAGCAACCAACATGGCGGCTGCGCAGTCACCCGGCGGCCGGGGGGAGCGGGGGGACGGGAGCCGGGCCAGGAAAGCTCGCGAGAGCTTAAAGGGAAGTGTGCTCTCCATTTTGATTGGCCCAGCTGCTTGTCCGTGAAAGAGAGAAGGCGGGGCTGAGAGTCCGGCCCACGGCGTGATTGGGTGGCTCTACCATCAATCAAGGGGGCGGTGCTCCACCTCCGTCCGTGAGCGTGGATCGGTCGCTTGAGCCGTCGGTCAGGGCCGCGGCGGCGCTCCCGGGTGTTCGGCCCGCAGCGGCAGCCGCCACCGCTTTCTGCCGGTTTCCCCTTTCCCGGGGGGAGCGGTCGTTCCTCAGGGATGTTGTGGCTGTAGGAGCCCCGGGCGGCTCGCCCGGTCCCACCGCCCTCAGCCTCGGGGGCCTGCGGCGTGCCCTCCTCCCCCCGCCTTCTTTTCAGCAGCGGGGCTGCGGGACGGCGGGCTCTAACCGCGCCCCTGACGGGGGAGTAGCTTTGGGGGGGGACCTCTCGGGGTGCGCAGGGTCGGAGCTGCCCTGGAGGGCAGGCCCGACCCGGAGGGACTCTGGAGTGTAAGGAGAAAGCAGAGCTGAGGGAAACACTTAGGGCGGTGAGCTGCTGCTCGCCCGAACCGCGGCAGTGAGGGGCCTCAGCAGCAGGCAGGGCAGCTAACCGGTGCCGCTGCGTTTCCCGGGGCTGGCGTGTCACAGCCAGGCCAGGGCAGTGCCCCTCAAACGGCAGCTGAGTTTGCACTGACACCGGGGCTGCCGGGTAGCCGGAATCCCTATGGTGGAAGGAAATGAGCCAGAGAGGAGGAACGGGGCTGTCTTACTGAGGTAGCCCTTGGTCTTGTTCACATGTCCAGCCAGCCTCACCCTGCAAATGTCCCAGGGAAGTCATTTCTGGCTGTGAGTCCTTGCCAGAGTTCTCCAAGGTGCGAGGCGTAAAGATTTCCATACGTGGCGTGCGGGGAGGTTGGCTTTGCAAGACTTGGTTTGACACAACTCGGTGCTTTTGTGTATGTGCACTATGTTCGAAAGGGTTTGGCTTAAAATGTCTTTAATGCCCATTTATTAAAAGACAATGTCTTGCAACGAGCTCTTTACCAAATAACAGACACATAGAGTATGTGGTTGGGAATGTGTTCTTGGATTTCACAATTAAATTCCTAACCACAGCAAGATGCAGAATACTACTAAGGGAGGTTGCCCACTACTAAGGGAGGTTGCATGTCCTCTTCTAATTAGGAAGCTTTCTAAGATGTCATTCTTTTGATGTCTGGAAACCTTCTGTACATTTCCAGCCTAAATTGTTCTTGTCCCAATTACGTCCTTTTGCTTAAATAGCTCTTCCCTTTTAGCGGTGTTTAGCCCCAATTATTTTTAAGAAAGCAGTAATACCCCCTTTATTTTACTAGGCCAAATAATCCAAGCTCTTTTAGCCTCCTCTCCCTTTTCCAGAGTATTAGGACACACGGGATTCTGCAGTTGTCTCATCTTTCTTGAATCAGGGGTTGGAAGACTGAATTTGGGGCAGGCAGTCAAGCAGGAATTTTTGACAATGGACAATCTCTAGAGCAATTCTAAATAATAGACTTCTAAATGATTATGACTACAAAACAACCATAAATTCCCGTTATTTAAACTTTATTAATGAAAGTCTATAAAAAAGCTGACAAAGTTTGAAATGTGAACATTTCCCCTGGATTGAACAATTCCTAGGCTGATGATTTCATAAAGCCCCAAAATAATACACATTGTATCGGTAATGCCACTTCTTATTGCTTCAGCTCTTCTCAAACATTTCCATAGTTATATTGACAAACTGATTGCAGTCCACCTCGAGACACCCAGTAACTGCATTTCTGAACTACTGCCAGCGTCTCGAGCACCGGACAAGGTACATTCTTCTGTGCATTAAAGGGATCCTTAGCTGCAGAGTTTGTCTCCGCTTCCTGATAATTCTCTTTCAGATCACAGCAAATTTATTCTCAAATTGCACAGATGCATTTTAATCCATTTGCACATAAGCTTCAAAGTCTGCCTCTCGCATTTTCATATAATTTTCTTTGCTTGTGCCTGGTTTGTACCAAACATACAGTTATGTTCCATCTGAGAATAACAATAATTAATACATTACTTTATACAAAGCATGTAATAGAGGAGTAATCCAAACCACTCAATGTGACTGCAGAGCTACACAACATTTGGCAAATGTAACCTTAAGCTGTTATGAAAGGATATGTTTTGCTAATCTAACACAAAATTGGTGACACATACAGATACCAAGGTTCCAAAGGATACAAAGGTTCCTAAGTTATTTCCTCACAATGCGTTATAATTCCTAGAATTCGTTGTTTACAGAAGGCTTGATTCAGAGCCCGAAATAAAGGGAGTGAAAGATTCTCACCGCGTGCAAAGTACTTCAGGTCAGCCCACATTGCAGAGCGCTAAATGTTTTAAAAATA